CACCTCACCCATTGTGACCTCAGCTTACCGATTCTTCTTATCCATCTTCAGCTGCTCGACTTGCCACACACTAGCCATATATTCAGTCAGGCAGGATTTGCCGCCCGACTCAAAATCTTTTGCAAGCTCGGAAGCAACGGTTGACCTTTGGTTTTGAAGTTCGGCAATTTGACAATCAAGGTCGGCCAGTGTTTCTTTCTTCTGCTTCAATATCTCGACCTTCGGACGTAGAGCTTCTTGAAGGACCGTTGCAGTTTTCAAGTCACTTTCAGCCCGAAGAGTTTTCTCAAAGATACTGAAATATTCTCGAGTTCGTTCTAAAGTAGAAGATGCTCGAGTGATGGCTTCATTGCTCAATTGACCATTAGCTGCAAGATCGTTCAGACATACCCCTATAGAATCGAGACCCTGGCATTCAAGAGTTTATGACGCTGAAAGAGACAGCAGCTCTTGCAACTTGACAAGGGCATCTGATTCGGCCGTTGACACGGATGGTCTGGTTGTGGTCGTCGAAGAGCTAGCCGCTCCCGAAGTAATCGCGATAAGAGCATCAAACTCAAGTTCCCATGAAGGCTACACATGAAAAGATTTTAGGCACATGGAAAATCTTAAAACAAAAAGAACTGACCGAAGAATTGTTTTAGAGAATTCGGCCATGTCCCCTGGTTCATTGCTCAAACCAAGAGAGCTTAATGGCCGAACCCAGTGCTTTAGACTGCTTCTCAATTCACGGGACCAATGCAGGTTATCTACGTTTGACGACCACAAAGGTGGCCAGGAAATGTAGATAAGACTTTTCGGCACATGGAATTTTCATTGAAATGAGAAAGTAAGCACCTGACATTTAATATTTTTCTGGTTTAGAATTCTAAGACAGAAGATCGACTAAAGGAAAAGAACAGGATGGTACTTACGAAGGCTAAAGTGGCTTCCCAGAGGGGGGATACCAAGGTCCTGATCCTGTGGGTGAACGGGCGTTTCCACCGTCACTTTAAGCTCGACGAGTAGCCTCTTCCCACGGTTTGCTCTAGAAGGGTCGACTAGCTCGGCCGCCTCAACCATAGGAGGGGGATTTACAGTAAAGGATTTGGTTGGTCGAGGCCGGCTCTTCAACGAGACCTTGTCGCTTTCGTCGTCCTAAAATAAAAAGCTGTCAATACTTGTGAATTTGATAAGACAAAGGAAGTTACCAACAACATAATCATACCTCTTCCAAAATGATTGTTGGTTGTTTGTTGAGAGTTGTCTCGGTGAGTGGGGCCACCTCTTCCAAAACAGGCGCAATGGTCTGCTCCGAAGCTACAGGTGGAGCAGCAGCTGGTCCAGCCACAACCCCAGAGACTGGTTGGGCCGCTTGGTAAGTTGGTGTTGGCTGTTTTTCCGTCAAGGCCTAGACAACCGAAACGGGAAGAAAGACACTAGGATCAGTCGCTCCCGTGGTCTGGCTGGAGATAACAAGAATCTCTCGTTCCCTTTTTTTCACCAATTTCTTGATGCGTTTTGGGGGTCGAGGAGCTTCACCTGCCGTCTCGATGTCCTGGCAGGGCTATTTGCTCGACAAGGCATGTACGGCTTTAATTTTCTTGGAAGAAGAGATCGACTTCTTCTTGACCACGACCACGACAATCACGTCTGTCTTTTTCAGCACTTGACCACCTAAGGAAACCAAAGCAAGTCAACAAAGTTGAGTTAAGGTATTTGAATAACGAATGTGGGATAGACGAATACCTTGAGCTGCCTCTGTGAGTGCCGGGGCGGAAGTCTTCTTCGGGCGATCGGCGAATATTTTCTTGATAACATTTTCGACGAGCGCGTCAAAAAATTCTTGAGTATACACGACCCACCAGTCAACAAAGGTGGCAATATTGAGAGCCTCAGGGACATTCGGCCGAAGGAGGAATTTCTTGTACCTTTCTTGAAATTCTTGTTCGGCCTCCCTACATTCTCTTTCCAAATAACCAGAAAGATAGCCTCGGCTCAGGAGAAAACAAAAGGTTAGTAAAGGTAGTGGGCAGCCTTGAAGATAACCAAGTTGCCGCGCGGTGAAATGGGGTTGGTAGATTTCTCAGCTAGCACGTTTGGCATCACAGCCCCCAGTTCTTTCGGATGACAACATCTTTGACTTCATCCCATGCCGAGGACGAGAGTCTGATAGAAGGAGGGTACTCTTGATGATGGTAGATCAAAAACTCATCATCAGAGAGGTCTTCTAGGCGAAGAAATATTTAAAGACTTCTTCGGTCGAATGAAGAGGAGCGGGTCTAGAGTTCAATTGAAGACCCAATACTTCGGTGGGTACGAAGTTCGGGATTTCTGGCCTGAGGGTGGCGAAACAAACCTGCAGCCAAAATTGAAGAACCTAGAGTGGGCTAGTTTGGTGTAGGTCAATCTTGTTTACCGTCGCCTCGTCCAAACAACGAGTAATATGGGCAAGGATAGCTGAGCTAAGGGCCAGGACGTGACCACTGGCTAATGCTTCAGCAACCGGCATGTTCTCGACTAAACACTTATTGATTTGGTTCAACAAATGAATTTGTTGTACCAATAGAAAATGAAGGCTACATGTTCCCCCTTCCTGAGGTTTTCTTCGCCTTGGCCAGCGAAATGTTGAATAAGGGTGTTGTAGTTGAAGAAGTTCTTGTGCAATTTATGAACTTCTTCTTTTAAGGGCTATTGGTTCGTCGAAGAGCATCTTGAGGTCGAGGCTAGATGGACATCCAGATAGAGCCGTCGATCGGAAACCCGAATGAGATGTCCCGAGAATGGCTGAGATGTCAAAAATGTTGGGAATAATGGGGCCGAGCGGAAGGACCATAGTATTGGTGGCTGAGCACCAAAAGCTTAAAACTGCCATAAAAAGCTCTTTATCCATAACAGTCTCGATGGTCGATAGCCTAATGGCGTTGCAGATACCAAGAACCTTCCATTCTTTACTAAAAACTTCTTCATCATTTCAACCCACGCTACCCAAGTCGTAATGGTTGAAGGCCAAGCCCCTTGAGGTTTAGTCGATTTCCACTTCGACCAGTCAAAACCTTGACACAGGGGTGCTAGGCAGTGATCCTTGAGGAGGTTGGTAATGGATGCCTGAACGTTGTCTTTGAAAAGTGATCCCAAGATCTTATGGGAGACACTTGAGTCACCTTCAAAACGAAAGTTTTTTATGGCATTCCGGTTAATGAAGTCCCGGCACTTGCCACATTTGTCGGAAAGCTTGGAAATGAAGGTGTTGAAAGCCATTGTGGAGAGCTTGGAAGGATTTCTGGGATGAGAGCTTGAGACTTTCTGGGATTCTTAAAGCAGAAATGGCGAGAGGGGTTTCAAGGTTTCTGAAGGCATAAAGTGCAAACGAAGGAAACTCAGGTATTTATAGGCATTTCGAGAAGAAGGTCAAACGTTTGATCTTCAAAAGCGTTTGATTTTCAAATTTTAGGGCAAAATCGACCAGGAAATCCCTAATCATTATGGGTATCTTGGGAATCTCGGGGAAATGATCAAGGTTTTCGTGGTTTGAGAACACACGATTGCGTGTTACGATGAATTTAATACATTAATGTGGAAGAGACATTTCGGCTGACGCATGTTTTCAAGGGTCATGATTACGGGCTGCTAGGTTAACCAAGGATTGACACGCGGCAAGACGTGCAGGGAAATTCAGATCGTGTGTCATAAATGCGCTTGACAGTTGGGATGTGTGAGACTTTTCATTATCCCGTAGTTATCTTCTAGGGTTCGCTTCTTCAAGGTCGAAAATCGTCTAGGGGATTCTAGGCAGAAGACCTCAGAAGTAAGGGGGCAATGTTTAGGCCCAAAATAATATTTTTGGGCAAAGCGTAGGTTCGGCCCAAAGTTTTTCCAAATATATTATGGGATGCCTGGTGGTCCCAGGTTGTTCAGTAAAGGTGGTCAAGTCGTATTGCAAGAAGGAGTAGTCTGGATGAGCAGATGGGTCGAAGAAGTCCCAACACGATAAGATAAGAGGTCCTAGTGCAATATGGATTCTCAGCTGGCAATGAATACGGCCTGAAAAAAAGGGTGAGTTCAAAGTCCTAATAAGAGTAGGATTGATCGAGATAAAGTTGGAACAGAATAAGAAGTCATAATCCGAATGTGGTTTCAACTTGATCTTAAGGAAGATTTGTTGCTATAAATAAAAAGCAGAGTGCATCATTCAAGTCTCCCCAATTCAACACACAACTGCCCTGCGCAAAACTCTCAAGCATCTTGAGATTTTTTATTTTCTTTTTCTACCAACACATCTTCAGTTTGGATAAGCAGCAGTGTGAAGACAACCAGCGAACATCTTCAGTTTGGATAAATAGCACTGTTGCCGTAGAATCAGTCGACCGAGGAGCACCTTCAGTTTGGATAAACAACACCACGTCGAGGCTGACTGGTTACCTATCCAAGTCTCGATCGAGAAGGGTTTCCGAATCCTTATTGACAGAGGTCATCTTCTTAGCCTTCTCGGTGAAGTAAGGTGTTACAAGTTACTACATTCGGCACATCGAACACCGAGTGGTTTTATGATTGGATACTCACGAATGAGTTTCAGAGTTCGGCATTCTGATGGCCGAACCACATTTACCATCAAGACATACATCTCCTTTGAGTACTTGTGTCCATATAGTCTGGTGTCGATTCGACGTGCTTATACTTTAACGAATATAATCACGGTGACCGAATCCAAGGCCGACAATTCGTGAACTTCGCAGAACTAGCAGCCCTGCCTTCAGGCTCAAGAACCCAAATGCCGAGACTTGTTCCTTCCTCAACCGTAATCGCAAGATCAAGAAGTCAACATCAACAAATTTTACTCCTCGGCCGAGCTCGGCCGACGAGTTGGCACGCCCCGCATCAACTTAAGGACGTAGTTAGCTCATTAGTTACTCGTCCTGCACGCCACATAGGCTTTGTAATTTTTAGGGTCAACAAATATTACCATTTCCTTGTTGCAAATAATATGTGCAAGAATTGGAGCCCCCAAAAAATCGTCAGAGTAACTAAAATCTAGGGATGTGTCGTATACTTTCACCGAGTATCATCTGTCAAAGGAAGATCTACATCGTCTTTCAGAAGATCCGTAGCATCTTTCGAAGGAAGATTGAAAGTTGGAGACGGAAGAAAGTCCCCATCTTGCTCATTAGACTCAAAAAGTATCAACACAACTTCTCGAGTTGTTGGACAGTCAAATGGGGGCATACTTGTGCAAAGTCAAAGCAATTTTTAATACAATAAGCATGTGATCAACAAGAAGTCTGTCTTGAAGATTTAACCGACTATCGAGTATCCCAGATGTTAATGAATGGTTTTGAACATAGTGTCTCACCCAGGTGACCAAGTGGCCTCCTTGATCTAGTGATTGGACTGGAGTTCTTCCAGTTAGCAACTCTAATAGAACAACCCCGTAGCTATGGATGTCACATTTTTCTGCAACCCTCATGGTGTATGCATACTCTGCCATGAAGAAGAGTAACATTATAAACCATTCAATAAACAATTGGGTGCAGAAATGGAAAACAAGAACGAACTAAGCGGCTACAGAGCGAGAGAAGGGTGAGTAAACAAAAGAAAATTCAACACGTTCGCATAAAACAAAAAGTCAGCCAGCCATGAGGAAAATATCATGTTTGCCAGTACATGGAAAAATCATTTAAACAAACATGTTCCCATTTCTACTATTTCCTTTCGTTCTCAAAATTAAATACATCGGAAACATCCTTATTCAAGGCAAAATTAAGGGTTAAGAAAGTGGTTTCCATTGAATGAATAATTTAAGACTTAATGCTCCAGTTTTTATTTTCCCTCTTGTCACATCTCTTCGATAACTAAGTAGTGGTTGCCACATTAGATATCAACTAGAAATATGCCCAATGCGGGACTTGAATGCACCAACCTTAACTACATGAATAAGACACATTTAACCTAAAAAACATTCAACATAATCATGAATGAACAAACAAGATACATCTAGGAAATTATAAAAAGCATTGTTAACTCCAGGAAATTATAAAAATCCATCCAATCAAGAGACAATATAATAGCTGTGGGAAGGTGAGTATGCAACCAAGAATCTAAGATATACTTGACTTGCAATTCCATTATAATTTCACACAAAAAAATAAGATCAAATTTTGATTGAAACATCAAGCAAAACAATCTCACAGATTGGACCAACTAAATAAAGAATATATCGATATGATTTTCAACCTAACTATAAAAAAAAGCTTTAAACAGCGCAATCAACATTATTTGAACACAACAACAAAAAAAAAAAAAACTGATTGCATGTTATAAATTCCACAGGTAATTTGATTTTGCAATCTTAAACACCCAACACCTCTCTCTCTCAGATAGCCCCCTAAACGAAGTGCCTCGTAGCATCAAATTGGCCTGCAACACCCCCGAGCGAGATTGAGACTACTTTTCATATTTTTATTTTAAAGTACCAGTAAGGAAACAATAGTATATTCCAAAATTAGCAGTTTACAGAGAAATATAAATAGAGTATGAGCCACAATCAACAACCAGTAAGACTGAACCACGGGAAATGAACAAACGAAAACCATAAATGACAACCAAAAGAGCCATCTTTTCAAACACAAACATGATAAACAGAAAAAACTGAAACAGCATAAGCTGACGCATACCAAAAGCTTGTCTACTTGTGGTATGAAGCCCTATGTGAAGCCAGCTGGGAATTTGTAGGCACATGAACATAATCCGTTGACTCCAAATCACTATCAGAATAACTTGTATGCAGTGAGCTCAATCTGTTGGCAGCCTCAAAGTTCACCAAACTGTCTGAACTTCTCTTATGCGGTGAATCATTAGAACTGCATGTCATTAACGCATGCCATCTACAGGCAAATGTCGCTATACCTTGGGCTCTACTCGAAATTTTAGTAGCTGCGTGCAAGGAAAGAATAATGCCAACAACCTGAACAATTGTGGAGACCTGAAAATTTGGACAAGAAAGAGGAAGGAAATTTAACGCATTAAATTTTAGTCTGCAATCAATGATGATTAGAGAGTTTTCAAAGAGGTCCCGTGTTAAAAGGGGAATCCATTATGGTTTTGAATCTAAGCCTGTAAGAGTGAGAAGTTAATCAGCGGAGAAGTAGGCACACAAAAAGCATTGTACTTACTGCAAAATCGCCAATATACATTATCCAATTAACCTAATTGTATTAAAAACCTAGCAAATCTGCATTAAATTAAGCATATTTTGCAGTAAAGTATCCATCTTTTCACAGTAAAGCAATAAAAATATCATGAGCAAGTAAATCTGGACCACTACGATCAAAATTCCAGCAATCAATAACCATAATTATAAATTTTGACAAACTTATAGTTGCTACAGCGTTTGACAATGATCATATAAATGCAGAAGCTTGGCTGAAGGAGAGTTATCGAAGAAATCCAGAAATCCTTCCATGGCAAACTTAGTTGTACAACCATGGCGTGTGTGTTGTATGCTAGATGCCCCCTCACTTTTAACAACACACGATAGCTTACGCAAATGCAAAGAGACTTCAACATGTTTCATTTAATATAAGTTTACATTTTGTAGCAAATGCATATGGCGAAATAGTCTATAAGTAATCATACTGGCAACCAAACAGAACAGTTCAAAAACTTAAATGGAAATATAAATTGCAGAAAAAAAACCTTGAATTTCCAAACCCACAAAATAAAAAATTCAACCAGATTAAATGTAAGAAGAAATGCCAAGAACTGAGAGCTGCAGACCATCAAAATGCTCATGATCTTGGTCGTGCTGATGAAATCCAAATCTGTACTTTCATGTCCTCCTCGGTCAATTCCTTGAGGAGCTTCGATATCGCCAACAACGTCTCCTCTTTGTCGTCGTGGCCATGGTGGTGCCAACTGCAATCCATGAACCATCCATTTCTGCAGTAAATTGTCCTCAACTTAGAACCAGTATAATTTAGCCAACCATATTCAAGTACCACAAAATATAATTTTATCATAGTAAGCTTTTCGATTCACTCCAAATGAAGATATTATATGTTCACATATGTATATTCACAACCATAAGAAAGAAGAAAACAACTCTTGGAACAGAGCAAAAATGAAGCACAAACGGATTCCCACAAACCAAACTCTGAGAACAAACAAAAACAAAACCAAATTATATAGCAGCATGCAAGTCACGAAGGAAGAAAGAAAAAAGAATACTCATTTGCAAATCCAAAATTAGAAAAAAGCACATGAACAAAACTGGGAAACTCACCACAAAACATTGGTTGCCAGAGCCCTTTTTTTTTTTTTTTTTTTCAACGAAATTGGAAATTCAGAAAAAGCTATGTAACATACAAATACAACCTCTATCTTGAAAATTCAACAGAGAAAAGAGAGTCCTGAAACCAAACCCATCCATTAGGAAGGCACAGCTAGCCTGGCCTAATTAAAAGTTCAACAAAAACAGAACCAAAGACTTACCCATCAATGCATAAGTAAAGGATTTACATCAAAACAGAAATGGTGAATCAAAAAAAGCAAGACCGCAAGTCACAATTCTAGAAGAGGAAAACAGAATGTTCACAACTCAAGCAACGGTATCAGTATTGTTCTACTAAATTACACGTTATATGATGAGCATTATTTTGATTGAGATATCTCACATCTCAAAAAATTCAGAAATTCCAACGAAGGTAACGACCACATTATATAAAGAAGAAAGCTAGACCTAGTTGAACATGCATAATTCGTGAAAAATCACAGGTTCCATAAGGAAGATTTTGAAATATGCATCTCAGAACAGATACCATCATTCATTGTTCAGCTCAATTATCCTGCTTCACAAACAATGTTGCCGACTGAACTTATGCTTCTCCCTTATGGCAGATTTGAATAATATAAACTAGGAAAACCACATATTAAAAATCAATAGCCAAGTACTAAACATACCATCTAATTCACGGATTCCATCCTCTGCATCTCTACTGTACAATCAATCTTTGGGTGATGTGAGATGATAGGATAAGAGTTTGGATTTCATTGACATTCAATTAAGCTGACATCAAGAGCTAGCGTACAATCAAAAGGATGAACTTCAAGCAACAGATTGTTAGCTGGGTAGAAAAAAAATGAAACATGCACAAATTATATTTAACTTTTCCATCACCTAAATTGTAATTAAAACAAATACACATCTTAATACAGAAGGATTTTCAAATGCCACAATGTTTAACAACTACCGTTCTATCAATTCCTAATCTTATAAATCATTTTGTGACAGCTAGGAAAGTTTACTAAATAACAGAGAAAAAAGAATAAAAATAATCAATCTTTGGGTTTGAAATAGAATCAGAGTTGAGCTTATGTACCAATATGAAAGTTTTGAGGAACAACGGAAAGATAGCTGAGGTCCTGGTGGTAGCGGTGGCTGAAACTTGGAAGGGACCTGGTTTAATCTTATTTGCAGTGAAGCTGGTGAACAACATAAGAGGTGGAGGAAACTGGCAATCCCAGTTGTCAAAATGAGCAATTTCATAAATGCATTGTGCTGCACAGAAAATAAAGAAGAGATTGCACAATAAATACGTGAAAATCAGTAAAATCGTAAATTAAAACACAAAAGAAAACCTCAAAATAAAACAACCCTAATTACCATTGAAGTTATTGAAAAAGCACCAAAATTACAGAAGAATAAACTGTGAGAACCCACATTAAACAAACAAAAGAAAAGATCCCACATTCCGAATTCATAAATATAAATTATCACTATTATGGTCGATTAAATGACATTACTACACATACTATGACCGACCGCGAGCTCTCTCTCACAAAGCCATCAATCTTTTTGTGCAAAATTAATACCATAATCAAGTCAACCCCATTTCCTTAATTCAAGCATCAAATTTAATACAAAACTACAATAATTTCCAGAATTTGACCCCCAAACATAAAGAGAATAGTACTGTTAGATGTTGAGAAGAACAAATAAGGGAAAATGGAAAATGGGTTTTACCTGAGGACTTGAGGAGCTGGGTTTGTGGTTTCTGAGGTAGTGTTCGTGGTTTCTAAGAGAGAGAAGTCATTAATTAAAAGCCCTTAACAAAATATATATTGAGAAGAAATAATTTTTTTTTCATAAGAAACAATCGAACAGAACTGAGAAGGTGAAAGCAAACATACGCAATTGCAATCCAATGATTTAGCTTGGAAAAACATTTCACAGCAACAAAAAAGTGAAATTAAAAACCCTATTGAATCAAATGAAGAATTTTCCAGAGTGCAAATAGTTAGTATTATCACCAAGAAGAAGCTTGATACCTTAAAATGCAAAAGTATGTGCCTATAATGCAATCCGACAAACATGTAATAGCAGCCATCAGAGAATTGAAAATTTACTAATAAAATGAACCAAAGACCAATTTTGAATAATAAGGAATGATGACGTTTTAACATTGACATAGTGTGTATGTCTGTGAGAGAGATGGAAATAGAGTTAGAGTTCGACAAATGCAAAAATCAACCTTAAGATTCACTCTGGTTCAAATGGTGCAAGCATAATTGAGGAGAATCAGACGGCAGAGGTCGAAAGTCCGAAGAATTAACACTGCATTCCTGAAACACAAGGGATTAAAAATTTTGGATTATCATCAATGAAATGCACTAATACAGAACTTAAATTCTGATATTCAATAATCCACTTACCAGAGAAGGACCATGAGAATGACTTTATTCTTCTGTAAACAGGATGTTGATAAGGGTTATGCTTGCCTAGAATAACTGGACTGATAAAGTGAAAATTTTGAGGCTTTAAGGTCTGAGCTAAAAGTTGAAGCTTCTACTTTCCAACTCGGGAAGAAATAACTGTGAAAATGCACAAAATAAAAAGCTTGATTTCCAAACCATTAAAAGGAAATTAAGAAATTAATTTATATATTTAATTTGGGTGAGGGATTTGAACAGAAAACCCATTTGTTCCATCCTCCAGATTCATGCTTTTTTTTCAAACCATTAAAGAACAAAAAGAAAAGGTGCGGAATTTACTCAAACCCACAAAATTAAAATTAATTACACCATAATCAGGCTAAAGATTCAAAATTCACAATGTAAAAACCCAAATTAAACATAAAATTCAAAATTAACGACGCAACAACCCGAACCTAGATATGAACATTTCAGCGAAACCTAAACCCTAGACAAGCACAAATGTCCAATTCTTCATAGAAAAAAATTTACAAAAATTTAAAGAATGACAACCCCAGCAAAACAAAATCCAAACATATCCAAAATTAGCAAGAGAAACACAAACCCAAACGTAAATCAGCCTCTCACACTAAGCAAACACGGTAGCAGCCATGCACGCCCATGACCCTTTCATCTTAGGAGGCCATGACTGGCGATGGAATAACCAAAAATACCAAAGAAAGCGCAGATTCCAAACAAACCCAAATTGAAATGAACCCTAGAAATTGAAATTCCGAATTGAAAATTCAAATTCGGGGAACTCTGACATTTTACCTAAATAGCAACTTAGGAGTTGCTGCTGCACCATTAATTCACAACTAAGCCGTAGCATAACCATTCCTCATCAATCTTTGAATTTTAATTAAAACACAAAAAATATTAGAAAATGGTTAAAGATAAGTTATATAACCGCAGGCATATCCATTCCCCAGCAATCTTTCAATTTTAATTAAAACACAAAAAATAAAAAATGGTTAATGATAAGTTACACACCTGACCCAGAAAGCGTTTGCAAACTCCCACAACAAAACCCTATAAACGTTTCCTTCAACCAAAACTGAAATCAAACAAAAGATCCACACACACAAATCAGCAAAAAATGAAGAAAGCATTTAGCAAGAATCGAATTTTACAACAATCAATTAAAAAGATTTCTCAACATTTGTCCTAATAATATTAGGTTTTATATATATATGTGTGTGTGTGTGTGTGTGTGTATCTATATGTATGTGGCAATAAGATTACACAATACAGCAGTTTTGTGTAGATCCAAATACATTACGTGTTTCTTTCATTCATCTTTTCAGACTTTTCGTTAATGGCAATTTGCATTAATTGTTTGAGCTCTACTGTACCGTTCTTTGATCGTTATCCTTATATCAATTGCTTTCTGGTGTTCATGTAAGTAAACTCGCATCGAGATTGTAATGTTATTGCTCCGGAAGGATGAAAAGCAAACAAATCACTAGCATATCATATACATTGCAAATCTAGAATACAAACTATAGAAACAAAGCCAAATTGTTCAGTATCTCCACCAAAAAATTGATAGACTATACATAAATTACACCAAGACACACACAGAGATGCATAGAATTCTACAATTTTGCCCCAAATTAGACCAAAAGGAAGAGAAACAGGGGACAACCCACATACCTCCCACTACGAATGAGTCAACCGTATGATTCCAGACCGAAATCCTGATCTCATCAGAGCTCAAAACCCGAAACTTTGGGAAACTGCCGAGAGCAACCGCGTGGTGATGGAGAACCGAAGGAACTTTTGGGGAAATGGAAGAGTAAGAGTGAAGAAGTAGGAGAGGAAGAGGAGGAGGGAGAAGAGGAGGGTCAGGTAGAGGAGAGGGGAGGTGGAATCGAAGACCAGTAATTCCAAAACCTGCATTCTCATCAGAAAAAAAAAAAAAAAAAGTTAAGTGGAAACTATCAATGCTAGGATTGAGGACACTTGAAAGATTCAGGGAACTCAAATCAAGACCTTTGACCACTGGATCGTAATTGGAAGAGCAATTTACTCCCATCCATCTGCAAGGTGTCTGATCGGAGGAGTTCCAATTTCCCAAAGAATCAAATCCATCTTGCATACTTTTCTTCAACTCTAAAAGGTAGAGCCCTTCATTATTCAACCCATCTGGAGTAGAAGCAAGTAGATTTAAGGCAAGTAACTGCAAACTGCACTTCCAAAGCCCTCCTTACCTCAAATGTTTTTGACATTATAGTAACACTGAGACAAGCACAATCACATAATTAAACACCTGCCCATCTAAGCTTATCAGATGCGATGCGATGCAATACAAATTAACTAATCATTTACATCAAGTAATACATAACCAGATTTCTAATCACAAAAGAATTTGATAATTCATAATCTAGTTTAAACAAGGCAAGTTTCATTGTTTCACAGCACAAAATCCAAGCATATCAAGTGCTTAATGAATTAAACCATCCATTTGAAAGAACAAACTTAGATATTTTGATAACTCAAAATCCAAATATAAAACAGAAAGAGACTAAAAATTGAATTTAGACACCTAAAAGCTAAAAGGGTAGGAAACTATGAATAATATAGTCATTTGAAGCAACCCAATAACACAAAACTAATGAATTTAGCAAATTACCAACTCAAACTGAATGATCAGATTTAACCAGATAACAGTAAAACAAATCAGTAGTAAAAAAGGAACCAAAACTGAAAAGTAATAACCAAAATTAAGCATATTAGAGCTAGGAACATACCTCTTAAAGTCTAGGAACACTTATGAAAAAATGAGTGACAATGTAAGCAGCAAGTCCAGCAGAAGTGGGAGCATTAACTTCCTGGAGTGACAAACTAAAAACCATGGGAATTATGAACCAAAAGACAAAAGTGATAGAAACCCAGTTCGCCTTTTAGAACAAATGGTGGGGATCTACGGTCTACAAGCCAAGATTTGCGCAGAAATATCTCAGAGCTCACACCTTTATTGCGGCCTTTTGAATCAAGAAAGAAACTCCATAGATTGCAGAAATATATCTTTGGGAATATTCTATTCTAGGAGAGAGAAGGCAAGGCAAGTGCTGGAGTTGAGTTCGAGCTTGTGGGGGTGTTGGGTGTCGTGAATGGAATGATGGGTGTTAAAAGAGAAGGGGCCAGAGCTCTGAAGCTTGAATGAATTGTGAACTTTTGGGGCAACCCAAACGAGTTTGAATCTTTTATTTTATTTTAATCTTTTTAGAAAATAAAACTCTGATTTTTTAGTTAAAATGGTTCTTCAGATTTACATAACACATAACTTTGATCCTTAAGATTTAAAATCAATAAAAGTGATCCCTGAGATTGTCCACTATCCATTATTTTGATCATTCCGTTAAAAAAGCAAAACACATAATTTTGGTTTATGAGATTTTCATAACACATAACTTTGGTCCCTGAGATTGTCCACCATCCATCATTTTGGTATTTCCGTTAAAAAGCTCAGGGACCACTTAACGGAGTTTTTAAAATGGAATGACCAAAATAATGGATGGTGGACAATCTCAATACCACTTCTATTGATTTTAAATCTCAGAGACCAAAGTTATGTGTTATGAAAATCTCATGAATCATTTTGGCTAAAAAGTCTAAAACTCTAGAACAAACAATATTCTTTTTGCATCGTATTTATCTGTATTAAGATGATTATTTATTGAGCAATCATCCTTTAACTAATTGTTTTATGTTTATGAATCTCACTTATTGTACGTTATATTTGATTGAAACTTATGGATACTTATGAAAGACGCTAAAGAATAAAGAAAGATAACAATATTGGTGATAGTTACTTTTAAGGTAAAGGAGTTTGGATACAATATTATGCGACAATAGGTGCATTGGGAGATTAATAAGGTAGACTAAGATGCAAGGCCGGTCATGAATTTTCATATGTTTGGCATGAAATTTCAAATAGTGTCCTTTGTAGATTTGATTAATAGACATTCTTTTGATAAACTAATTAATTTTATAACAATGATGAAATATCAGGATTAGAAAAACAATATATGTCGACTAAAAAAGGATTACAGCTGAAGAGGAGGAAACCTATGTGATCTAGAGAGCATATCTAAATACATAAAGGATGCCAACGTTAAAAGTCAAAATAAAATAGATTGGAGAGCTATAGATTGAGAGGTGAATACCTTCTAACATTCAAAACACCCTGGAGTTATACAAAAAGATATAAGTGTTTGTGCATATTACACTTAGCTAAAATATTGAATTCACGGGCTGGAAGTCACACACCGAATTCTTGTGCAAACAATTAAACTCCATGCTCTCTCACTCAACGAATTTCCATCCCCCAAAAAACCTTACCCATAGTCACCATAGCCGCCGACCCCTTGCTATGGCTTGGGGCCCGTGGCAACCCATCCATATCTTCTCCTAGCTTTTCTTTCCTTCCTTTCTTCCCTCACCCTTCTCCTCCCATCTGCTTCGCCGCCCCTTTTTTCCCACCTCTCAATTTTTTTCTACACTTTTTCTCTTCTCCTTCCCCATTTTTCCCTCCCACCATTTTTGGCTGTCTCATGGGTTTGCGCCTCTTACCCAGATCCAGATTATGCCTTCTCAAGGTCTCTTCCTTGATTAGGGGATTGATTCGTGATTTGGGTTTGGATTGGGGTTGTTGGTGGGTCGGAGACATTTCCATCAAACTGATTCAATTTAGTGATACTCTCAAATTTTGATGTGGATGTGCCGATTTTTGGCTAAGATATATTGCAGTGCTACCTTCTGTGTTCAGATTTGTTGCAGCGCCGCCTTGGAATCTTATGGTTGCACAACCTTAGCTGAGCACATCTAGGGGTTGCACCACCTGGGCCGCTCTAGTTTGACTGTTGCACCGCTTAAGTACTTCAGATTTAGAGACTCCAACACCTGCGTTTTCAACGTTTGCAGCTCCGGTTTGACCTATGGTTGTTGCATACCCATTTTGTGCAGAGTCATAACTGGTAGTCTTTGCCTGAGTAACTTATCCCTCCATCATTTTGTGCCATGTTGTGGTCTTTCTTCTCGGAGTTTTCAATATAATTTAGTTTAATTTAATTTGGTTCAATTTAGTTTGGTCTAGTCAAGTTCTATTGTTTCGCTTAGCGAGTGTTGTGGCCACACTGCAACGTTGGTTGTATTTGGTTTTCTCTTTGAGTGATGAGTTATGTGGTCTTGTCTATTAATGATGACTTTATGTGGTCTTGCTCCCGCGATGACTTTATGTGGTCTTGCTATTTGTTGGTGACTGTTTGTAATCGCCAGTACAAATATGTTATATCTATCGTTTTATGACAAGTTTGTATGGGTGGCGTGTGAAGTTCTCGTACATGTGGTAGTTGTCTAGGGGTTTACTATTATTGTCTTGTTTGTGCAAATTCACCTCTATATCATTTTCTTGGTCACTGGAGTATTGCACCCAATTAGGCACCTTTGTATTGTTTGGGATTATGAATGAAATATCAAATATCGTTGCTTGTCAAGAAAAAAAAGTTGAATTCATGGGTTTATTTGTTCTTATGTTATTGTTTGTAATGAACGACTAAGATTAGAACTAGCTCATAGACTATATTAATGACAACTGTTATAGCAGTCGTGTGTCTTGAGTTGTACACATGCCTACAACATTTAGGGGCAGCACAGTTACAAAAATCAAGATGACAAGGTTTTGAGTTTGGATGTTAATTTGATGATTCATGAAAGAAAACAATTCGTGTTGAATCACTAATGAAATGAAGAAATAAAGTTTAAATTTAAATTTTTTAGAAAGGAGACGCTATTTATTTACTAGTTAAAAAGGGGAAGATTGTTCATTTGCTAGATTTTTTCGTTTTTAATATATATATATATATATAGAAAAATATAATTGGGAAATCAGATTACGTATTAGTTAATAATTGTGTGTGTTAAATTGTTAGTTATTAAGAGAAGGGAGATCGAACCCATATCAAGGCGCATAAATAGGATTGCTTTCCGCCACTGTGGTAAACGCCAACTCCCTTTTTCTTTTTTTTTAGTTTGTTTAGTGCTATTTTGAAATAAAAACTTAAGCACGTGATAGGAAACCATGAATCTTGTTTCTTATTATAGAAGACATGACAAAAGCATGGACGAGTCATACTATTTTCATTTAGAAAATTGATGTTCACACACAATCAGGGGCGAAACCAGACAATCGATTTTCACCATTTTAATATAATTAATACAAGAAAATGGGTTGGAGAGAACATATGCTATCCAAGAACATACCTCCCTCCACTCCAATTTACACACCCATTTTTACCATTTGCACATCACTTATTTATTCCTGACATCTAAATAGAGAAGTGTTATTAGCATTCCAAAAATCTCATTCTGCACTCCTCACAAGTGTATTTTTCCTTCCAAATATAGAAGGTTTGAAGTATAGAATGAAGTTTTTGAAGTGCTAATAGCAATTCTCTTTAAATAAATAAAAAATAATCGAAAAAAAAAAAAAACAAGTAGTGCATAGGAAAGCAGAAACAGAATATTCAAAAATCATTTCCCTTAAAAATTTAAACTTCATTAGACCAACTCCAATGGTGGGCTAAAAGCCAAATTATCCCCCAAAATTTCCCTCCAAACCCACTTCAACCAAAGGGGAAATTTTGGGCTAAATGCTAAATGTTAAACTAATGTTAAATTCCCCCCAAAATTTAGCCCAGAAATCGAAGTGGACTCCACCCAATATTTATCGGAATTTAAATTTTTTTAGGTTAAAATGTTCATAAAAGTAATTTATAATAGTCTACATATTTATTTTTTTTTTAAATTAATTTAACAAAAAAATAGCCTAAATTCATTCTTTAATAATCATGGGCTAAAATTTTAGGTTAGAACGGTTGGAGTAGAAAAGTTGTTTCTGGACTAAAAGCTAAATTTTTCGGGCTAAAAAATTTGGCTTTTAGCCCAACCATTGGAGATGGTCTTAGCATTATAATCCAAGGTAGGCAAAGACAAGTACAATGGCAACAGTGGTCCACAAATCTCAAGGACATGGACCTTAGAAAAGCGGAATAGGGTGAGATGGCTCCCTTAGCTTGCCCAACCACCAGGCAAGAGCTTTACGTCCATATCATGAGCTGCCAGTCCGTTTTTGTAGGCTATACATGATTCCGACGACTAATCACAGATATGTTGAAAGGTGAATCCGACTCCGAGGTCCCGCATGAAAATTCAACAACCTAACAATTCACTAAGAAAATAAAATAAGTTGATAACTATTGGAGCACAAGGCAAAGTGTAAGGTTCTTCTTTCTATGCTGCCCATTTTTCTCTTTGACTTGGAATGTTGTGGGTTGCCTCATCTCCACTCTCCTGACTCCACTAAACATCCTCCATCAATTCATGTAGGTAAAAATCGACTGATTTCGTTTAATCATATTTTACTATTTAGTATTACAATTTAATGATATCTTTTTTTATTTGTAAAGGAGATGTTTTATATTCAATTATTGTTCATGACAAGCCCATTATGACTGAGCTCAAATCTCTCACTCTATTAGTGTGAATATATATCATTGTATTAAAAATATATATCTTAATGCATTGTGTAATCTCAAAACAAACAACAAAAAAGCCTGATCCCATAGAGTGGGGTATGTGGTTCAAATTCGCATTTGACAAAAATCAAACTTAAAACTTTTCGTTTATAAGTGAATAGGAATACCATTAGATCATAAGACCATAGTAAGTGTAATCTCACTTAAAATTTTGTTGCTAGATTAAGGTTAGGCAGGCCGACAGGTGTAGCAGTCCCTTAAACTGGTGGAGGAGTATTTCACTGAGAGATGCCCAACCGCAGCAAATCGGTATTTGGGGAGTGCGACTTAAACCTGAACTTGGGCATGCAAGAGCTAGTCGTTGAGAAACACGGAATCGGAAAGAAAAGTACTATGACCTAGTTGAGGTTCAGCAGAACACTCTTGCTTGCTCGTTTGCCCTATGTGGTAGCTAGGGGCTGACGACCATGTCCCACAAATGGATGGTTTTGCTATTTTGGGACACAACTACAACCAATCTTGTATTTAGCTCAATCATTTTCCCGTGTAATATACTAATAGTTTCTTGGTTAAACCTTAACAAGTTTGGTCATAGGATATGTCC